GTAACTTGTTTATCAGAGCTCAATTCTTACTAATGCTTTCTTTTCTCTAAACCCCAAATTTTTTACGAGACCCATTTTTTCCTCCAGGGGTGCGTGATAGACATACATCCACGTGGTGCACCCTGGGCAACGTATACTCATACGACAAAAAGTCTATTAACAGGCAGTTGACTTCTGACTTCAAAAAACCATTACCCAACTCTATGTCATATTCGACCACTTCCACAGTACTCTTGTTACCTTCTCTCTGCATTTGTGCCTCTCTGTCTCTTTTGGATCTGTGAATCACTCTTTTGTCCCCCCCCCCCTACCCAAAGTCAACTAAAGGGCTAACGATAACTATCAAAACGCCTTCCATTTGAAAAAAATGAATAAATTTGCTCCTTCAAGCCCATTGATCCAGAATAGCAACAAAAGAACCTTGTAGTTTTATTCTCAAAGCATTTTTAAACAGCAAAATAATCCAAAGCAGCACTTCTCTTAACATGGTTTGCAATATTCCTAAATGAATATTAAATTCCAAGGAAAAAGTAGTTAAAAGTTTCTATTTAACATCTTACAAAGTCACTAATACATCCTACACAAATATTCGGTTATTATGAGGTAATTTCTGCCCTCGGATCTTCTTTAACAGTGATTGGTTGGATGATTTCCTTCTTGGCTCCTCTTCTCCAATTTCTTTAACGTCTCAATGAGGGAACTTTGGCTTGATTCATCTTCTTCCATTTCTTCATCACACGCTGAGGTATTATATGGACCTTGAGAAGCCTGTTCCGATTCATTTTCGGTTTGTGGTTGCTCAGATTCAGACTTATCAAGTGCTGGTGTTACAGTGTCCATGAAAAGGGGAGTTAGAGGCGCAAGCTTAAGTAACCTCTCTGCTTCCTTCTGCTTTCTGCATAGAGCACGTTTCTGGAACGCTGCTGCAGCACCAATCGATAAAGGAGACGGCCCAAGTACTGCCTCAGCTGAAACTCCTGGATGACTTTCGCGGATATGCACCTCAAGAACCCATCTACGCCGCTGAGGCATTACTTCGTTACAAAGAGGACATATCTATAAATGGTAAAACCTATTTAACTTAATAATAACTAGTACCTGCAACCAAGATGAATTCAACGGATAAAAAATTTTGTATGATATCAACGATAATAGGCTCAACTAAATCGGGAAACGTTGTAGTCTACTTAATTTATGAAGATTCATTTAAGTAGTAAATGATTTTTCGCCCCAATAGTAAGTCAAGTGATAAACAATTGACTTCATTTGAACCATTTTCAAGGAGTGGAAAAAATAAATAGATGAAAACCTAAAAAGAACAATTAATCGTTCTTTATGTAGTTGCAAAGATTTTGTATCGATTAGAGTACAGAATAGTCTGTTGAAACTTGCTAGAGAAAGTTAGACAAAATATAGTACAAAATAAAAAAATACCTAAATCGTGTATTCGAATCGACTAAAAATAAAACATTTTTAATGTGAAGAAACCGCACATATTCAGAATTAATCAATGAAAAGTTAGAAATCGATAAATAGAAAGAGTAACTTGACTATTACTAACCTCTCTTATTTCAAGTTTTCTCAAAGCTGTGTATTTTATCTGAACTTTACGAACATGATCAACACTTCAAATCAAAATAATAAATAAGAAGGCCTACTATAGTTTGAATAAGTAGACACAAATCTTTACCTGGGGATGGGAACTTCGCATGTGCGCTTTCAAAGTCTTCCTAGAGGTGAAAATCTCGCCACAACTATCACAAGTATGCTCTGGAACCATGCCATGGGTAGTAGTACGATGAGATCTGAGAGCCTGCATGGTTGGAAATCCAGCAGGGCATTCAGGGCAAAGATGCTTTCGACCAATCGCAGCAGCTGTTGCCACTGCATTCAAGGCAGTTATATGGATAGTTTCTGGATTATCTACAGCAACGGTATCGATCGAACGTCCTACTGCTTCAGCAGCAGCTAAGACCTGAGATTTCGGGGCGTCAGTACGTAACCAGGTTCCTGGAGCATCATTGGCACCATTTTGAACCCCATGAGTACGCAAGTGACGATTTAGAAGGGATTTTGAGGCCAGAGAGAAACCACAGAGTCGACAGACAAACGGCCTTTCGCCAGAGTGGGAACGTAGATGCTCATTCAGGTGGACTTTCTGACGATAGGCCTTGGGACAAATGTGACATCTGAATGGTCGCTCCCCAGTATGGGTTCGAATGTGCTTTTCCCGGGCACTTGCACGACTGAAATTCTTGCCACAAAGGTCACAAAAAAACTTGCCGGTGTTCTTATGTCGATCCATGTGCTCTCGAAGACTACCTCTTTTCATTGTTTTATCGCAAATTGTACAATTCACCATTTCGCGATCTTTATCCCTTGCTGGTTGGTTACGGATTTTCTCAGGTAGAAAGAAAGCCGGAGGTGCTAGCTTATCGAAGCCTAGCGGTGGGACAATCTGATTTGTAGTTGAATCAAATATGGGCAAAATGGTAAAATTTCCCTTTTCCATTGCTTTAGAAATCATATCAAATGCTTGGACGGAATCTGCAATAACTTGAGACTGATTTCCATTTGAAAGACTTTCTGTAGATTGGCCTTCAACAGTTTGATTCTCTTGGGCTGCATTTTCAATAGCTGGAGGCGGTGGTGGGTCTTCATTTTCAAAAACAGTAGGAAGAGTTGTATCTTTTTGTTTCGGTTTACCTTTCACTCTGGGCATAACAAAATATGCGAGAGAAGTCTATATTAATCCGCAAATCAACTGCAAGAAAAAGAAACCGTATGTAATTTAAATTAGCAGATGCAAGCACGAATCCTAAATCCAAATTGCGCAGTAAGAGAGACTTTAACCAGGACCTTATGAACGTCCGCCTATCAAATTACAGCAAACAGGTAGAACACACGCACTCCTAACGATCCATGGGTCGAACCCTGGCTTGCAAGCGTAATGCGGATGTGAGTGAAACAGACAGGCATGCAGTGAGTGAGCGTTCACTAGCGCAAGTTTAGCAAGGCGCAATATAGTAAGCTAGACAGGCAGTAAACTACACGGCCTTAGATGCGTGCGTGCTACCAGCGGAGATTTTATTGGTTGTTAGATAACGAATAGGGAAATTAAATTTCGTATCATCTGTCCAGGCCACTAAATCAGTGTTCGTGGGTTTTCTAATGGCTTCGTAATTATTATATTACATAAAGCGTAGTAATGCGAGTATTTCATTAAAAAAATGAAAGTAACTTGTATTGTGCAAAGTATTGCAACATCTAAAGCATGAGGTAAGGGTCTTCAGCAGTTTATGGGGCTGGTTGTGGGTCGGGCTCCATTTAAGTGGTAAAGAAATCATCGCACTATGCGTCTTCCTGAGGGTTATTTAGATCCAATCTTACAAAGTAGTAAAATTGGCATCTGGTAGTGTTTTGATTAAGGAAAACGAGAAAGTGAACTCCGATTTATCTAAGTTTCCCGTATGCCACTGCATGGAACGACCTTTAAACGTGTGTTAGGGGGGCTGTAAGGGGCACTATATCAGTCAAAGAAACAATCATGATTTGCAGAGTTAGAATTGAAAATAATTGATCACTTGATAGCCACAATAGATGTGACCGCAATACATTGAAATATGGAGGAATTTCATGAAATTGAAAAACCGAAATGAATGGGATTGAATGATTATTTGAACAAGCCAAATAAGCTCACTTAAGTTGAAATTGATCCTAATCAAATATTAAGAATTTAGTCACATACTGTATTCACAACAATGATTCTTGCTTGAAAACCAATCAAGATTGTTAAAACAAACGTGAAAGAGCGATTAATGAGGCAAACGCAATCACCAAATTTTAAGAAATTCAATCTAACAAAACTAGTCAGAAAGATGCGCTGATATCAAAAAACTTGTTCCATGTCGGTCTACCTATTAAAAGCGCAAATTTGCCAACATACCTAAGCACGTTTTAGTTAGAGACATCCATCTTGTAATCAGTGAACAAATATTGGATTCATGAATTCATTAGTGATCTTTACTTGGCATTTTTTAGCAAGAAAGGCAAATTTGGGATTGAAAACGAATAGAGACTCAGGTGATGGTGGCAGTCATTAATATTTTATTTGAAAAAGAGCTATTTTGGCATCTTTATATAGACGTAAAGTTCAGGTTGATGATCTAATGAGTTGGGAACAGCTGTCATAAATTATCTTATTTCTAACTCTTGTCCGTTAAATTAGATTCTTTGCAAATTAGTCTGCAGACAATTTCATCAAGAAATGATTACTATAATATTATATTATTTACTATTGATTAATGGATAAAGTAGCTTCCAGCTTGCTGTCACTTCAAGCTTTAAGCCTTTTAACCTAAGTTTAAGATAATTTCAAAGCATAACAAGGAAAAGGCGGACATCTTAATAGAAGGCGAACTAATACATCCAAAAATGAAATTCGCAGACGAAAGGCAAAACAAAACCCCACTTTAAGGTACATTTTTTATAGTTGGGTCATCGTGATTGAGATATTGTTGACAGATTCGATTTGTCCCATACGTTAAAATTAGGTAAACTTGAATTTTGAAAATTCGAGTATATTATTTTTCTTCGATTATACTAATCTTTAAGCTTTTCCATATATAATTTGATATCGCACTTTATTTCAGAGCGTTAGATACGAGCTGATCATTTCCATTCATTAGGACTAGGGTTCAATAAGGAATAACTGGCAACGTTTGTTACCGACTAAAGAAAAGAATAGACCACTCTTAGATTTCTTGCCAATTTATCAGATCATCATATTCTGAATTAATACGATATGAAAGTTGGATTACAAGCAAATCCCTCAATCGACGCTAGAGAATTGCTTCATCACTGAGAAAATACCGAAATTTTGGATTTAAAATAAGATAGGAAATAAGTGAACGTTTAAAACGTTGTCAGAAAGACCAATTTAGCTTAGTTGAATTCATAGGAGAACAGAAAGCCACAGGAGATTAAATGAATTAATGTATTAACGCGTGCATTAAATATTCATTAACTTCAAAATTCGATTTAAATTGCTCGATAAACCCATTATACTCATATTAAATAAAGAAATGAAGTTAAAATGCTACTGACTCACTCATAAACTTGAATTTTTATCGGTTTTTATTTTTTAATTTATTAAAATAAAATATGCTTAAGATTGATTAGAGAAATAAAAAAATGTTTTCATTGTCTATAACACACGAAAATAAAATTTTGACATTTGAAGAATTATTTCAATTGTATTTTGTTAAAGCTTGAGGATGTAAAATTATATAGCTCATAAGAGTTTCTTATAGTCAGTTAAAGAAGCCCGCGCGCGACTACATTTTGATAGGTCGCTTAAGTTATTATTTTGGATGAATTAGGTATTTTGCTTGACTTATTTTTTAGTAATGTGAAGTAAATTTTGCTTTAATTGGATCGAAAATTTCTTCATATCTTATATAATTTATATTGGGTTAAGTTAACTAGATTATATATTCCGGTACGATTTGGAAGATCTGTCTGTTTTCATCATACAAGTGATTTTTTTCCTTTTTGTCATTTTGCTTCACACCAAATATGTAACTCATTAGATTATCCTCTGTTTTAGAAGTGATGGCGAATAAAACTCTGTTTGGCAAAGCTTTGGACAAATATGATTCTAATCTTGATGATATTGATGAACTTCTTTCAAAGTTGACTGAAGATGAGGTAAAGGCATTGAACGAGGATATCGATCCAGACAACTCTCTCCTTCCTCCTTCTCAACGCTGTCGTGATCAGACGACTAAGGCTCCTACCGGACCTTATGATCGGGAAAAACTTATCAAGTTAGTTCGTACCGTTATACTGGTATCTTATTTTGCATTTTAAGCATTCCGACTAGCTTTCTGTATATTTATAAACAACTCCTGCAGTCGAAATTCTTTACTTTATTTATTGCATGACCCATCGTCTGCATCTAATTGATATTGTCCATTGTTTATTCAGTTTGTATATATAGCATTTGGCGAGTTGTATTAGTATTTTCAAATTCATCCCCTTCGATTTGGACAAAAATCAGGTATACTTCATGTTGTCTCCCTATTTCCAAGGTGAACTTTTGGAAACGGTTTCATAAAGTTCTTCAAAATTATTATTTTACTCCAGTACGTTTCTCTGAAAATCTTCTTTACTGTTACCTGTCGAAACCTCTTGAATTAATTTCGAATTTTCAATAAATTTAACCTCTACAATGAGTTCTATACCGTTTGATCCATTTTTGTATTTGTTGCCTTTTAAAGCCTTGAAGATGTCGTATAATTTTTTCTTTATTCCAAAATTCCTCTGTGTATTACTTTTTGAGCTTCGAGTGGGATTTCTCACAACAAATGCGTTAGAATGCTATTTCTATATTAAGTGCTTTACTTCGATTTATGCACAGAACATTTTTTCGTTAGGCGTCAGTTGTCTCGCGGTGAAGATCGGCAGTCGTTTTATATCTTTGCACAAACAGGTACACACGACTGGACCTATGGATACTTTAGTCGATATCTTATTGTTGGTTAATTTTTTTTATCGCCCTGATTTCGATTGCAATCTGCTATTTCTAATGGAGATCATAATCGGTATCTTTCAGATCCTTCCTAGTGACGATGCATTTAAACCACGTTCATTTTCCAGATTCCCTTTTGCATCACTATAATTATTGGTCCATTTGATTAAAAATATTAAATATTAAAATATATATAATAAAGTAAAGAAAATTATTGTTTAAGCGACATTGTAGTTTTTAAGATAATAAAGGCAAGAAACTGAGAATTCTCAATCACTCTAAAAACGTGTTTAACATTGAATCCAGAAGGCATATTCTTAATACTCGCTTTATTTTTTTCTACTAGATTCCTCGTTGACAAGGCAAAGAACGATCCCGACTGGGATGAGGCTGTCCCTTACGAGAAAAAAATTCGTGGAAAGGTTTTCCAGAAGAAAGCCGAAGAACCTAAAAAGATCGAAAAGGACGAGCTGGCTGATCTCGGTTTCGATGTGGAATTCGATGATAGCATTAACGATGTACGTTAATTTAATTTTCACATTTTCATTTTTGAATATGAAAGATTTGAACAGTCTTATTTTGTATTCTTAGTTCTATCATATTTGCAACTGTTGGGAAAAATAGGGCAATGCCAGTTTTCAGGGTCAATCCACTTAGTTCAATTTTTGTTTACTGTCCATATTTATGCTATTCCCTCAGCTGCATGTACTAATCATTAATTAATATGACGTCCAAACGTGATATTTATGATAACTAATTTAGTCGTTCGATTATCAATCGGAACTAAAATGTGTTCTTGCCGCTTTTCTCTCCCTTCATCTAGGAGGAATCGACCAAGTTCAATTTATTTTTCGAACTTTTGTAGAAATTGATTTTTTTGTATAAAAGTGGCCATCAAGTACCAATTTACCTTCTTTATCGGTATATGTGGCTGCTTCGATACATATTTTTAAGTCATTATCTTGAAAATCTTTTAGTCAGTTCGTCCTTTTGGTCTATTTGTTTAAATGTATCACACATTGTTTACTAGCCGGCTTAGATTTATATGAGCAATCCTAAGTCGGGGCTGTTCAAGTGAATAGCATGTTGAAGCCGGTAGTTAATAGTTCCTCATCTGTCTTTTAGGTGTAAATAATATATCTTTGAATGCGCCGATTACCAAAATAGCTCATTTTCTGCATTCCATTTCATTTCCAATGAGAAAGATCGCTCATTTCGTCTTCATTCTTTTCTCTATGAATCCTGCACTTATCGGTGGTTCTTTTAGTTAAACCAACGATTTTGTAGACGTATTAACTTCAGCGTTCCTCTTCAATCACCTGTTTGATTATTGTCGTACTGAAATTGTGTCTTTTTCTAAGTTTAAATACTGGGTTTTCAAGCGCCAATAGCTATCGAAGGTTTGCTCCACCAGTTTAATTCAGCTAGTTATGATAACGTCAACTTTCTCTACCACATATGCTCACAGATATTACATAGCTGATAATAACATGAGACTCATTTAATGCTGCTTGATTAGTGTGTTGTCTAAATATACTGCACATGACATTTCAGTTTCTCTTTGTTGGCAAAACATCCACCTGGCTGGCTCATACCGACTAGCCGCTCTACTTAAATAGAGATGTAAGTAGCGTAACCTCTCATTCTTTAAGCTCACGCAATTTCAGATGTCAATTCTCTTATTACATCAGGTAACTTAGAAATGGAACGTAAACTTTTTGATCATAAAGCTACAAGGGTAGTTGAATCTTCAGTTGTCTCCAACTGTATTGAAACGCTTCCCCGATGTGAGCGAATTTATCACATTTTTTGGAAATGTTTACGACAGAGTCGTAATCTGCTATTAAGGCCTAGTAACTTTTTTGCTCCTTGAAATATTTAAAATTGTATGTCATTGTGCCCAATGACAAGTAGATGTGTACTTTCGCAATAATTGAATATCATGGAAATAGTGACTATTTGATTATATGTCTGATATTGAAAATGATTTTGGCCCCATCTTGTTTTAAGATGACAATCGAAAGACTTGTTGTTCTTGATTGTTGTTTCTCAAATCACTGGATTGTCCACAATTTGACATTCACTTTGTTTACTCCATTCGTTGTTAGACGTGGGTTTTTTCTATTGTCTTTACTAACATTGAGCTTAGGTGCCGAGTTCGACCTGTGATTTAAAATTTTATTGAGAAATATGTTTTCATTCTTGATGTTGTCCCTGTTGCAGATCAAGCTTTCATCATACATGTGTGTTTGGAAACAATTAGTGACAAGTTGGTGATTGTAAACCCGGTTCCATATATTAAGTACGTAGGTTGTTGGAAAGTCACATGAATTAATTAATTTCAAGATTTTTCCGGTGTCGTCATAGGTAATCTCTGCATAGTGGCAGCATAAAGATTTATTGGTTAAAGTCTTTTGGAATATCTTCATTACCGGTAATAAGGCCTTTCCACTAATCTCTTTGTGTGAAAAATGCCGGAATTAAGAGAACCAGTCTTATTCAGGTTGTAGTTTACCGTGATTTCATGCCCTGATGACCTGTCTATCGCTATTCAGTTGTAACTGACGTGTAACGCGTGCTTGATATTCAATTTCGGGTTAACGCACCTAGTCACGAGCCTTTTAACCTATCTCTCAATATGCCTGCAGTCATAGACAAGAGGTATCTTCACCAAGGTTTCTGTTAAATATCTTTCTATTTAGATTTAATTTTAATTTTTCCAGTAACATCCATCTATTATTGATATTAACGTAGTTTTAGTCTTCCTATTTCCGCCAATATTTCACTTTCCTTTGTGCTCAGGTATCACAATTATTCCTTGTACTTTGTGAAATGTTTTGTTGCGGCAATACATAACGATATTTGTCTCAATACTCCCTTGGATGTGCTGCTATTTCTGTGATGAAGCAAATTCTTAATCATTAAATCCTGTAAAGCTGGGGTCGTTAATGTCGACATTCGGAGTCTTGAGAAAACTTGGCAACTCAAGGTCGAATTTTCTTTGACAAATAGACATAACGGAGTAGGTGAAAATAGTAAAATACGTCGACTTTGAATGTGATTAGGATGTTTAAGGAAACTACTAATTGGAACTGAACAAACAGATAGAACTGAAGTGTCATTAATTGGAACGCACCTATTCTACCACAGTGTTTGCTTCCGAACATGAAGAGTTACTGATTAAATCACCCTCCCCGTTGAACGCTTTTGCTGCGGGAAGTATTTTACTTAAAAAAATCATGAACTTATTGTTTTAACGTGGAAAAAACTAGATGCTTGAGAAAAGGTCATTGATTGAATCATTTTTTCGTGCTTAGGAATAATAATATGTCTCGTCATCTTAATTTCAGAGTTTAGCTCGAATGGGCAAAATATTTATTTTATTTCAAATGGCGGGCTTTATGACACTTATCATTAGCCCTTTAGCTGACTTCGGGCTTCACAGAGAGGAGGTTCATCAAAGTAGCAGAAAGTCGAGGGGTGGGGAAGAGAAGTGCGATTCACAGATGTAAAAGAGGCAGACAGACACAAAGGTAGAGAAAAAGGTAAGGTGAGTACAATGGAAGGGGTCGAATATGACAACCAGGGGGGTCGTGGTAGTTTGAAGCCAGAAGTCAACTGCCGGTTAATAGACTTTTTTGCCGTATGGGTATACGTTGCCCAGGGTGCACCACGTGGAGGTAAGTC